CTTGAGCTTGACCATAGCAATGACTGTCAGGATGATGCTGGACTGGTAGGGTTTCACTCTGGTCCTCATAGAGTTGCTTTGGGTTGGAATCAACTCCCCTGCATCTAACAACAACAAGAACAGCTACCATCGCAGCTGTTCCTGATCATGAACCAAGGACTATGCAGCAGATGCTATGATGTGGCTCCGAGGCACAACTTTGACTACCCTGCATGCCATACAGGTTAAAGGCAGATCCTCACTCAGGACCTCCATGGTGGAGGGAAAGATAAAGACCAAGAAAAGGCGCTGATGAGCTGCAGTACAACCCAGGAAGATGGGCAACTAGCAAACGGGGCCTGACCCTGAACCTGTTTACTGAGCAAAGAAGAAATGGAAAATGGAAAACTGAGCAAAGAAGAAATAGAAAGTGGGGATGAGCATAGCGTAGTTCCAGAGAAGGAAAACAAGGAGAGGCCTTTGGAATAACAACCAAGCCACAATTGCTGATCATAGATGGCACTGTTCGTGGATGCTCATCAGGTGCTATGCTGACTGCTTTGCATACATACTCTCACTTGGTCATCACCAGAATTCTGTAAGGCTGAGAGATCATCCACTGTTCCAAGTTCCCCTTTCCAATTGCATTGCACGATCCCAGTATAATCAAGAAGTACTCAAGTACAAAGCAGACTCAAGTCTGAGCGTGTAACTCACCTGCTTCGTTCAACGTCTCTTGCCTGGTTCAGTGTAAAGAGCAAACAGATAGAGCACCACATCCAGAGATTGGCTCCCAGTCTATTCAGATGTGAACGCAGGAGATTGTGAAAGAAACAGCACTAATGATTAAGCCACATCCAGCTTGAATGGTACTGCAAACATTCCCCGATGTAGCTCTCAATACGGGATAAATGATTAACAGACGATGATCCATGGCTGACTATTGACTGGTGGCTACCGTAGATTGGAATGCAAAAGTTGGAGACAATGAAGGATAAGTACTTCTTCAATGTGGCCTTGATGATAGAAATGAAGAGATCGAACGATAGACATTTTTTAATAAGATCCACAAAGTAGTGGGTTGGAAATACCCTTTTTTCAACCGCATAAATGGTAACTATAACCATGGATCTCAACATATGGGATCCGTAGGAATCAAATTGACCGAACCTGTGAAAAGAGACAAGGGAGAAGCTCAGTATCCTAAGAACAAGGCCAGCAGCCAACAATGGAATAGACCATTAATGCAAGTTCAAGTTGAAGCTGAAAAAAAATGAAACAAATCTGCAAGAGCCAAAATCCAGTGTTTCTCACCTGAATTTATAGCGACCATCTCATAAACTGAATGGGTGCATTGAACGTTAGTGACCACAGGCCAGCCGAGTGACGCGATGACATCAAGGACATCAAACAGGAGAAAAAAGCCAAAGATGGTTAAAAGACAGGTCCTCTGGTCAGGTTCTGGTCAGCTCAATGTGGGCTGCGTCACTCAGCCTCACCAGGGTGTCTACTGGTCGCCTCGCCTTTCAACGATGGGCACTGTCACAAATGCTCAACAACCCTAGCCCCCTTGGCAACCACAGTACAACCACAGGAAGATGGGCAACTAGCAAGCGGGGCCTGACTCTGGAATTTGTTTACTCACAATTCTCTGCAACTGAGCCAAGAAGAAAGGGAAAATGGGGATGGGCATAGAGCAATCTCAGAGAAGGAGAACAAAGAGGAGAGGCCCCGGAATAACAACCAAGCCACAATCACTGATCACAGAAGGCACTGTTCATGGATGCTGATCGGGTGCTCTGCTGACTGCTTTGCATATATACTCTCACTTGGTCATCAACAGAATTCTGTAAGGGTAGGTCATGAACTTCAGAAGGCAACCCGCTCTCATCTTCTCCTCTAGTCCCTGTGAACCAGGTTCACGTGTGTCAGTGGCCAGACTCAACTCGTCTCTTTGCTGCGTTTCTCTCACTGCCACTCAACAAATGGATCCAAGTGGTCACCTAGCAAGCATTTCGGGCTGCCCACAGGCTCCCTTACTTCTGAGACTTTCTTCATGGCTCCAAATTTTTTTTCAGCTTCTGACACAAACCACTAGTTCAAAATTCAGAAATCCAAAGAGTTCCTTTTTTAAAAAAAATCTGTCAACACCCTCCTAGTCAAGTCTCTACACCTTCTAACGTCCTGAGCACTGGGTGGGGGCTTAGCTTTTCGGAGCCTTCTTTGTAGGTGTGTCCCAAACCCATTTAAAGATAAAATATTAATAGCGCAAGGTAAGTGGGCTTACAAGCTCTCTATTTTCATACTTCCCAATAATCATTTCTATCAATCATTATATCAACAATAATAAGTAGAAGAAATCAGTATAAATAAAGTAGTATCAGATACTAAACTTAATTTTCAATCCTTCTTTAGCTTATCTTAATCCTCCTCTAAACTATTCCATTGATACAAAATATGGCCTTCGGCCTCTGATGGCATCAAGCCAGAGCCAGGCTTTCTGTCAGTCATTTTCACTAAGCAGCTCTGAGACAGTCAAAGGGTGATTTCACCCCTGAGCTCAAAATATACATTAATCACATTCATTTTTGCCATTTCAAAGAGGAATTACCAAAGACGACAACCAAATAAAATAATCCAAATTTTAACTTTCCATATTTTCCCCAGAAAACAACGTGGTAAACTGCCTGGCTATATCTGACCTCCGGCTAACCCAGGAAGAAACACTACCATGAGAGAGAGGTCAAATAAACACCCACTCTCCATCTTCATGATTTGTTTCTCTAGTTCCCCACTCCCAACGTACCATAATGTGCTAGTCGGGGTTGACCAGAGAAAACAAATTCAGGACACTCATGTGTGTAAGAGAGAATTTAATATCAAAGCCCAATTGTGCGTTAAGAAAACATCCCAGCCCAGTCCAGTTCAAGTCCATAAGTCCAATATCATCCCATATGTCCAGCCTAGTCCATGAATTCCTCTTTAGACTCACTCAGCTACCCAATGACACCAAATACAGGAAGATCACAGGCCAGTGGGTGGAAAGTCTTGTGGATCCAGTGGTGGTGGAATCATCTCAGCACTGGCGTGGGTCTCCATGTCTTCTTGAGCTGACCTTTGAAATCTTCAGTTCAGCTATTTTACTTCAGCCAAATTTACTAGTGTGTGGATACTGAATGTAACATGGACTGCCAGAGGAACAAACAAATCTGCTTGGAAGAAGTACAGTCAGAATGGTGCTTAGAAATGAGAATGGTGAGACTTTGTCTCACATACTTCGGAGATATTATGAAGAGGGGCCAGTCTGTGGAAAGGATATCATGTTTGGTAAAGTAGAGGGCTGATTTTTGAAAAAATAAAGGAAGACTTTCAATGAGATAAATTAACATAGTTACTGACACAGTGGTTCAAACTTAGTATTGATTTGGAGGGTGGCACAGGACTGGGCAGTGTTTTGTTCTTCTGCACATGGGGGTACCCTGAGTCAAAAATCATTCTTATTAGTTTGCTTTTAAATGCTTTCCTGTATATGAAATCCACAATAGGTAAATCTATAGAGGCAGTCACTGGTTTAATGGTTACTTGTGGGTGTGACAGGGAACATTGGGGGGAAATTGGGGAGCTAATAATGATGAACACAAGAATAAAGATAATGTTCTGAAACTGTGGTGACGAAGGTACAGCTCTTCTTGATGTGATTAAACTATTGA